CTGCCCACCACGGGTATCGAGACCCGGATTCTAGCGTTGTAAGTCCGCAGACATACCGCTGTGCCACTGGAGAGGGGGGGCTTTATTAAGTACACATTTGGAACCAAGCCAAAAAATATTATTGTAAACATTGATCATTATAAATAATGTTGAAAAGAGATGCAAAGCATCAAGAAGATGTTATAGAGATAAGATGTCATTCCTCGGGTCTTATCTTCCTGCCCCTGAGTAGGCTTAAATGTACTAGGATTCATTTTTGCAAATCACTGCGACATTAATGATAAAAGATTTTGGCTATTGTAAACTTAGCTTATATGACCAGAAATAGTCAGAGGTCTTGTAAGATGAAAGTGGTGTAGTTTAATCGCTCCGAATGACGACAGTTCATTTTACGGTATTATTTTTGCTGAAATGTCCAGAGAAGAAATGGGCCACATGGTCATCGCTTGTGTCAAGCTAGGAACGTAAATGACGGTTGACAAAACTTTATTATCATCTACAGAAATGTCTTTTTTTTTATTGAATATTCTAGATTTTGTCTTTTGTAAAACGATGGAACGTCCAGTTATGGTTTTTATTTCCTTTCTTCTGGATTTTATTTTCTCAGTACGCGTGTTTTTCGTAGTTACTTTGGTTTTATCATAGTTTGGTTGTAATTTGAAACTTTGTTCTCGTTTTAATATTGCAAATATATTTTACTTGTATTAATTATTTCAGAATCGTTTAGTCTCCTCTTTTCTATTCGATTTAATTTCAAACAATTTCATGAACAAGCTTCGAAGTCCGACTTGCTTTCCGACGTCACTAAGCGCATATTTGCTTCTCAAAGTCTCAAAACAGAAAAAACAAATGTTTTCTCTTTCTTTTTTCCAATTACAATAATTTTTCTTAAACACCGGTGGAACGGCGGTGGTAAGTCTACGGTTTTACAACGCTATAATTCGATGTTCGATTCCATATCGTGGACAGCAGATAACTCAACGTGGCTTTGTTCAAAAACAAATACTCAGCTGACTTAGAATACTGCAATTTAGATGTTAAGATGTTTTTTTTTCAATTTCTTATTGTAATTAAAACTCACTCAGTGTGACGAATACATACAGCACATTAAACAAGCTAATTCAACAAGCAACCTCTCAGCCTTTAAAAATATTAAAGCTCTTATTGAAATGGAAGCTTCTTATTCTATAATTGTCTGGTTTATGAATACTTAGTAAGCAAATCTGTAGACCTTTGCGCACATCGTTTCTATGACAACTGAAGACGTCATTTTCGTAGGGAAAATTGCATTATGTTATTATATTCCTCATCTTGTGTCATGAAAAACGAGCTATATTGAAATCATAGAATTGTTTTTCACCACATATGTCCTTAAAACTAATAATTTAACAGTAGGATGACATCAGTCCCCAATAAACGTGCGTCAGAGGCTGAAAAGGTTTCAGGTTATATTTTCTACTCAGCAATTGTTTGCATCTGTCAATTTACAGGCACAGCTTGGGATACAAAAATCAATAAGCACACGTGCGTTATAACAATGTTAATTCACTCTTCTGATGTAAAATTGTCATCAACAGACATTAACAAAAGTGGGTGTGTGTAGATATATGTACACACATTTCTTTCAAGATACTGATGTGTGAGACAGTAATGCTTCTTTCTGTGATTTGATACTTTATCTATCCAACGTCAACCGATCTGGCCCTGGCGTCTGTTTATACACATATCATAAGTAATAGAATTATATACGTTAACATTTAACTGGTTATTAACCTACATTTTGCTCCCCCCTGGAAGCTCATCGGTAATCTGCAGACTTAGGACGCTCGTCTGTTAGTTTATTTATCTAACAATGTTTCTATTTATCTGTCAACAACACTCTTTTATCTATACGATTGTTTGACTCTATATCTACCAGTTTATAATTAGTATATGCTGCTTGTGGTATTAAACCTCTAAAATTTATTGTACTTTATGTTTTTGGGGTACAGAACGTAATTTTTTCAACTTGAATAAATATAATATTCATTGAGTCTTGAACTAGATTGTTATATTTCCCTTGTTATTCTGAGAACTCGCACGTAACAGCAAAACATGTTTCATTCTTTTTAAGGTATTCCCCATTTTTAGTCTTAAAATGGCTCTTCAGTGTAAGGCGAAATACTGGTTTGAAAACGGGTTCAACATGTGCTACTGTAAATGTCGAGCCGACCGTGGCCCGATAGATTAGTGTGCCGTACAGTGAATTTGTTGGTTCATGTCCTCGTTTCGTTACAGCAAAAAAAGCAAACAACAACAACAACAAAACACACACACACACACAAC